CAAGCTACAGGATATGGCCCAGACGCTTGGGGGAGGGCAGGGACCTGTTAACTTTCCACCCATGTCCTCGTCCTGTGAAGCGGGACCTCTCAGATTCAGAAATACCATGAGCCGCGATCAGCTCCTCCTCCAACAGACCCATGAACTTCCCAAAGCCTACGTTGAGGTCCTCCTGGGTGCCCTGGTGCTCAAGGAAGGTGATAACCTGATCCCAGCCACGAGGCGGTCCTGGAACGGGTCCAAGCGGGCGCGCCTTGGGGAACTTCTTGGGGGCCTTGAGCACGGTCATCATCTGCAGTATCGGTTTGCTTCTCAGAACAAGCTTGACGGGCCGATGAGGCTTCAAGTGGGATCCAAGAGAAACCTGGCACGACACAACCGAGGGGGCTAACGCTTCCGAGACCACGAAATAATCGAGAGTTCTCCACTCACGCTTCCCAGAAGTACAGGTTGGCAGCGACGGCGAAATTATCCTACCACCCAGTCTGCTAGGCCACCCGAGTCGTCCCAACAGCGCTGGTGGAGCATTCCAGTCGCCACCAATCAAAAAAGGCAATCCTGCTGAGTGAAGCGCTTCACCCAATCTACTGAGCAGCAGCGTACCCTCGGGGCCGAAGGGGTCGGTCGTGGGTAGGTACAGGGAAACCACCAAGACACCTCCTGGAAGAAACGCATTGACCCACCTGATCAAAACTCTGTGAGGTGACGGCAACGCCTGGGGCAACTCTGGAGGTCTTCCCATTCCAATGCAAGCTGGCACTCCTATAGCAACCCCTCCAGAGAGCCCCCCTGCTTCAGTTTCCCTGGACGGCGCCACAGACGTGAGAAGGCCCTGGCCCCTGAACATCTTCTCACGAACGATCTGCTCGGATGGTCGAACTCCGAGCTCCTGAAAAAGGTAAATATGCGGGCCAGGAAGGGTTGAAACAATACTTGAAGTCCCTTTGCCTGTCGGTGCCCCATGCAACGCCTGGCGGAAATTAGCATCCTGGCGGCGTTGCTTGGCCTTGGTCTCAACACAAGAAATACATGGCCCCCAGCTGGTAGTGTTGGCCGTCCAAACCGTAATCATTGTGCTAAACAGACTGCTTAGCGCCACCACCTTTGCCGTCAACTTTAGATTCCTGGCCTTTGCCTTTGGCCTTGGCTGCCGCCTTGGCCTTGTTGTAGACCTCGTCGATCTTTTCTGGTGGCACCTGAGCAGGCCGTCCTGGAGTCGCCGACTCCTGGTTGAGCAGATCCACCACTGGTACACGCGGGCCTGGGACTTGAGCAGCAGGCTCAGGAGCGCCACCATCACCAACTGCCGCAGTAGCTGGAGAGCTGTCAGGGGGCGGGGTATCCTGCCCGTCAAGACCACGTCGCCGCTTTGCCTGCATGCGCTTGTTGAAGCTCTTCTGCTCCTCCAGCATCGCAGTGGCCTTCTCCTTGAGCCCCTGGAAAGCCTCCCGAGCAGCCGCCTGCACCAGCTGCTGTAGTTCTGCTTTGCGCCGTTCAAGCGCATCACGATCCGCATCTTGCACCTCGACGCCCCCGAGCTGCTCAATGCCGAAGAGGCCACCGTCGTCGAAATCGATGTCCTTACCCGACAGCATGTCGTCCAGGCTGAGGCGCGGGGCCGAGGACTTCTTCTCCTCAGGCACAACCTTAGCCGCCAGCCCTCGTACCGTCTCCATGTAGACCTTCTCGCACTGCTCGTATGACATGTACGCCTGCGCTGCAGCCTGGCGAGCCTCCAGCAACTGCTCCTCCAAACTCTCAGCCTTGCCGACTGCACGGTCGAGCTGCCACTTAGCCTGCTCCATGGCGTGCTTCGCTGCTCTCACAGTTGGCGTGGCTGGAGCCTGAGACTTCTCGAGCTCCTCGATGGCCTGTTGGTAGCGAGCAGCCCCCGCAACATCTCCCAACTCCGACATGGACTGCTGGAGGGCGCGCAGCGACGGCAGCTGGTCAGCAGTATACTTGGTGGCAGGCATGGACGCT